TAACAAAATATTTCATTGGGCAACGGAAAACATGATATTCAATGATAAATAAATTCGGACTATTTCCATTCAGGAAAAAACTGTTTTCCCGACACGGTGTTGGTCACTGTGTCATCAAGTTATGCAGTCTCACCTGCATTAAAAGGTTTTGTTATACAGAGGGAACAAATGACCTGAAGAGGACCATCAATATCTTCACATCTCTTGTTTGGGAGGTTCTAGTTGCCTGTCCTACCATTTTCCTTGCGTCTGCGATAACAGTGTTGTGATCCTTGAATGTGAGATCTTAAATTATCACTCATAAGTTTCTCACAATAAAATTTCGCTCTATTGAGTGATTCGAATTTGTTTCACTCTCCATTCGAATTTTTATTTTCTCTGATTCTCCAAAGGGGAGTTGATGAAATTTGTCTTCTTTGAAGATCATAATGAGGATATTGTCAAACATTCCAGTAAGGGTTCATTAGCTACGGGAACTTCTAAGATTTCCTTCAGCATACCTGGATAACCTATCCCATATACAGGAGAAAGGAAAATTTTATGAAGATGTGTGCATCTTCCCAGACCTGAGAGCACGAGAAATTATACTCGGGAGACAGAGGAAAGAAAACGAGAGAGAGGAAAAGAAAATATATATATATATATATATATATATATATATATATATATATATATATATATATATATATATATATATATATATATATATATATATATAATGTATGTATGTACAAGCATTAGTAGAAGTCTCATAGTGAAGCAGAATGATCCCCAATCCTGCGTGATGAAATATGATAAGGTAGCACCAGCAGCACATTGCGGATGTATCCAATTTTATTTAAGACAGTCATAATGGCCTACTGGGAAGCTTGTACTTAATCAGCTTGAAGATTCGTTGTGTCATGAGTGGAAGTCACTCAGACACAGATTCTAGCCTCGTCCGCAGAAGATGATACGGAGCTATTGCCTGCGTCTCTGTCTATATGGGATATGAAGTGATGTCTTCTCACTTCTGGCAAAACAGCCACTGAATGAATGGTTTACCTGGAGTTTACCTGGAGAGGGTTTTGGGGGTCAACGCCCCCGTGGTCCGGTCTGAGACCAGGCCTCATGGTGGATCAAGGTCTGATCAACCAGGCTGTTACTGCTTGCCGCACGCAAGCTGACGTACGAACCACAACCCGGTTGGTCAGGTACTGACTTTAGGTGCCTGTCCAGTGCCTTCTTGAAGACAGCCAAGGGTCTATTGGTAATTCCCCTTATGTATGCTGGAAGGCTATTGAACAGTCTTGGTGGTGAAGGTTTTCTCTTTTTGGGATCACGCTACCTCGGTGGGAGACAAACGCCGTGTTAAACGTATCTTTATTATTATTGATTATTATTATTATTATTATTATTATTATTATTATTATTATTATTATATTAAGACAACTTCCATAGATACAATTACAGTACATTTAGCATTCGAGGCTCTTGATTCGCAATTTTAAAAAAGGCTGGAGCATAATCGTCTCTATTGGTGCTGCTTGATCAACCATTTTGTGATGGAATGTAAACATCAACACCCAACTGAGTAGGCAGTTACCAGAGAAACCTGACATCGAACCGAGGAGAAAAACTGGAAAGTAGTCACAGGTAAATGCAAAGTGAAAGGGGAGATAGATAGATAGATAGAGAGAGAGAGAGAGAGAGAGAGAGAGAGAGAGAGAGAGAGAGAGAGAGAGAGAGAGAGAGAGAGGCAGACAGGACAAAACTGTTAGGGAGTCATCCTACCAATTCGACAGTGACCCAAAGAGTGTGGAGGGTTGGAGAGAGAGGATGTGGGGTGTGAGGGAGAAGTAAAATGCGGGGTGAGAGGAGGGAGGAGGGAGATAGGATGTGGGGCGAATGCAGACGTTGAGGATGTGGGGGAGAATGCTGGAACTGTGGAAGAAAAATTAAGGGAACTTAGGTAGGGTACGAACGCGGAAAACAAGGTAAATAAAAGAGATATTATAAACATGATCGTGAGAACAGAGGCGATAGAAGTGATGAAGAAAGGCGGAGGGGCAATTGGAGAGGGAATAGAGACATCAAAGCGGAATAAAGGGTGATGGTAGGGGGTGTGGGGAGAGTAGGGATGCATGGGAGGCCAGGGGAAAAGGAGGGTCAGGGTGTGGAGGGGAGGAGGGGGGATGCTAATGGTCATCAACAAAGTGATCCGTCCGTTACCTTCACCAGCTGTCTCCTGTTGTTCCTGTTGCTGCTGTTCATTGCTGTTTCTGTTTGTTGTCGGCTGCTTTTACTATTGTTGCTGTCGGCTGCTCATGCTGTTGCCTTTGTTGGCTGCTCTTGCTGCTGTTTTTGTCGGCTGTTATTGCTAATGTTAATGTATCCTTCCGCAGCTTGTTACTCATATTGTCACAAATTTTAGTCACTGCTTCGGTTGCTTCTTTATCATGTTATGCTCTTCTCTGTGTATCTAATTTCCGTTTCCTTTAATTCCTTTGCGTCATTATCTCAGTCTTTTCCTCCCAGTTTGCGGAAATTCATATTTTTTTTCAAGACTGATGGACTGATGACATCGACTCAAGGCTGAGGGACTGATTACCTCAAACTGCTTCTGATCTTAAACATTCTTCTTTGTATAGGAGTGATGAAGCCACTGTGTGGCGGAACGTTTCATCAATAAAGAGGCTGTGATGGCTATGCAAGCCTGCTGCCCGCTAGCACCAACAGCCTAATTCATAGAGGGACTCGATGAAAATACATTACGCCTTCAAGAGAGAGCTGGACAGATACCTAAAGTCGGTGCCGGATCAGCCGGGCTGTGGCTCGTACGTCGGACTGCGTGCGGCCAGCAGTAACAGCCTAGTTGATCAGGCCCTGATCCATCGGGAGGCCTGGTCATGGACCGGGCCGCGGGGGCGTTGATCCCCGGAATAACCTCCAGGTAACCTCCAGGTAAGATAATGTACAACTCACCGAAATCATGGTCCTCAAACAGATTAAAACCAGTGAAAAGCAGGGGTGTAGTGAGCACAGTAAGGAAACACTGTATCAACATTCGTGGTCTCAGATTTTTCAGCATCTTACCAGAAGATTTCAGAAACACTGCCGGGACAAGTATAAAAGTCTTCAAGAGGAAATTGGACAAGTATCTTCACCAGGTGCCAAATCAACCAGGCTGTGATGGATATGTGGGGCTGCAGGCCACCAACAGCAACAACCTGGTTGATCACAAACACCAGACGAGTAGAAAAAGGCAAAGGTATATCAAAGATAATTGGAGACAGGAATAAATAAATGTAAGACCCATAATATGCTACTAACGTCTAAGAAAATAAAGAAATAACAGATTTAAAATAAACAGATTAAGATTTAGAAAGTGTACACGAAGACACTGTTAATAATGACAGAATTACCGACAAAATATTAAGTGAATGGACACCGATGCAACTCATGTGACATTTTATCGTGGCAACGTTTCGCTCTCCAGGAGCATTGTCAAGCTTGACAAATGACCTGGAAAGCGATACGTTGCCACAATAAAATGTCACAATAATTGCATCTGTGTCCATCTAACTTACATGAAAATAATTGGTCTGGTATTATTATTATTATAATCAAAAAGAAGCGCTAAGCCACAAGGGCTATACAGCGCTGTATTGGTCTGGTAGAGTCATGGAATATTTAAAGCATTTAAGACAATGTAAGATACAGTGGTGGAAATTGTTGGGTTGATGAACTTGACTAGCATGAGTCAGTAGACCTACTGTAGTGCTATTCTACTTTTATCCTCTTACCTGGAGGTTACCTGGAGGTTATTCCGGGGATCAACGCCCCCGCGGCCCGGTCCATGACCAGGCCTCCCGATGGATCAGGGCCTGATCAACTAGGCTGTTACTGCTGGCCGCACGCAGTCCAAAGTACGAGCCACAGCCCGGCTGATCCTGCACTGACTTTAGGTATCTGTCCAGCTCTCTCTTGAAGGCAGCCAGGGGTTTATTGGCAATTCCCCTAATGCTTGATGGGAGGCTGTTGAACAGTTTTGGGCCCCGGACACTTATGGTGTTTTCTCTTAGTGTGCCAATGGCGCCCCTACTTTTTATTGGCGGCATTTTGCATCGCCTGCCCAGTCTTTTACTTTCGTAGGGAGTGATTTCTGTGTGCAGATTTGAGACCATTCCTTCCAAGATTTTCCAAGTGTAGATTATGATATATCTCTCCCTCCTGCGTTCCAACGAGTACAAGTCATGTGCTTCCAAGCGTTCCCAGTAGTTAAGGTGCTTGACAGAACTTATACGTGCAGTAAAGGATCTCTGTACACTCTCTAGATCTGCGATTTCACCTGCTTTGAATGGAGATGTTAATGTACAGCAGTATTCCAGCCTAGAGAGAACAAGTGATTTGAAAAGGATCATCATGGGCTTGGCATCTCTCGTTTTGAAAGTTATCATTATCCATCCTATCATTTTCTTTGCACGTGCGATCGTGGCACTGTTGTGATCCTTGAAAGTGAGATCCTCAGACATTACTACTCCCAGGTCCCTTACATTATTTTTCCGCTCTATTGTATGGCCGGAGTCAGTAGTATACTCTGTTCTAGTTACTATCTCCTCCAGTTTTCCATAACGGAGTAGTTGGAATTTGTCCTCATTGAACATCATATTGTTTACCGTTGCCCACTGGAAAACTTGGCATACAGTATATTATCTCTTATGAGATAATGTACTGTATGCTATGTCTATCTAAACCTTTTAAACGACAAATCAAAATTATTTCACCATCTGCAGATTGCCACTGATTCAAAAGCTTTGCTTAATGGGTGAATGTAGACAACGTTAGTAGTGTGGGTGAATGTAGACAGAGTTGGCAGTGAAGGTGAATGTAGTCAAAGTTAGCAGTGTGGGTGAATGCATGTTGGCTATGTTCATGAAGAATAAATAGCGAGATAATTAGTTTACTTTGTACTGAACAGAGATTCAGTAGTTATTAAGAAGTTTTAAAAAACGTTTTAGAGAAAATACAAGTAATGAAAGAAATAATGAAATCAGGTTGAAAAAATCTTTCAAAATACTACTGAAATCGAGAAGACATTCCATCAAAGGATTACGAGACGTAAACATTGACAAAAGGTCATGAAGGAGAATTATACATACGGAATAGTTTAGAACTGTCTTTGCACAACCTTGCGAGTGAGAATCATGTGTGAATCCGAGGCTCACTGCCTGGCAGTGTCTGGAGGCTCACCTGGCGTCGAAAGACTCAACGTCCCTAGCCCTGGGGAGGAAGAGGCGGCCTCCGAAAACCCTATAGATTCCCTGGTCACCAGAGACTCTCAAGACGGAAGCCAACATGATCCCGCGACGGAGAAGGTACCTTCGGATGTTTTTAGCGAATCGGATGTAAACTCTAGACTTGATGTTGGTTCTGGTGAGGCGAAAGATCCTTTGGGGCTCACTACAAGTACCTCCAAGGAGTCTTTATCCAGGGAGTCTGACGAGATAGAAGGGGTTGATCCCTTCAGCGACAAGCCGAACAAACTCAACGACAGAAGGGGATCCAAAACCGTAAACTTTAAAGAACCCGAAGTAGAGGAATCCCCGACGCAAAATGGGTCTTTCTCAGCTTCTTCCAAGGGAGGCATCTTCCTGGAGGAGGAGGACGCCAAGACTGAGAAACACATCAACAAACAGTGGACGCTCGGAGAGGGCAACCCTGTTTATCGTCTGTCCTTGAAACTTTCTCCAAACCTGTTCAACATGACGGTAAGTGAATTTATATTAGTATTGTGCAAGAGAATTTAATTTAAATTTAATTATGACGGTAAGTGAATTTATGCTGTTATTGTGCAAGACAATTTTATTTTACTCTAATTAACTTTTGTTCATAGCTTCAGTTTCATGAAAGCCTCATCCGTGTGACGTAGGTCGGTGTATCAAATATTTCTGTTTTGGATTATGTCTTTCTTCATGCTTATTCTTGTTTACATTTACATTACCTAAATGTAAATGGGTAATAAATCAAAATGTTTCTCTTCAGATTTTGTGATAATTTTTATTAATCATATGTATTATAACTGGTAATGTAGTTCTCAATTGCAGGAGGCAAAGAGAACGTGATCATCACTTTTGGTGAGGAAATGAGAACTGTGAAGTGATATATGTAAATCATGTATAATGTAGTGGTGCTTCAGATTAGTAAAAAATGTTCCATGCACTTTTTCTTCCTGGTATAAATACTTTAGTTTCTGTTCTGTATCTATTTCCAGGCGTAGATTTGTTTCCGTTTGTTGTGATTACCTGGAGGTTATTCCGGGGATCAACGCCCCCGCGGTCCGGTCCATGACCAGGCCTCCCGATGGATCAGGGCCTGATCAACTAGGCTGTTACTGCTGGCCGCACGCAGTCCAACGTACGAGCCACAGCCCGGCTGATCCGGCACTGACTTTAGGTATCTGTCCAGCTCTCTCTTGAAGGCAGCCAGGGGTTTATTGGCAATTCCCCTAATGCTTGATGGGAGGCTGTTGAACAGTTTTGGGCCCCGGACACTTATGGTGTTTTCTCTTAGTGTACCAATGGCGCCCCTACTTTTTATTGGGGGCATTTTGCATCGCCTGCCCAGTCTTTTACTTTCGTAGGGAGTGATTTCTGTGTGCAGATTTGGGACCATTCCTTCCAAGATTTTCCAAGTGTAGATTATGATATATCTCTCCCTCCTGCGTTCCAACGAGTACAAGTCAAGTGCTTCCAAGCGTTCCCAGTAGTTAAGGTGCTTGACAGAACTTATACGTGCAGTAAAGGATCTCTGTACACTCTCTAGATCTGCGATTTCACCTGCTTTGAATGGAGATGTTAATGTACAGCAGTATTCCAGCCTAGAGAGAACAAGTGATTTGAAAAGGATCATCATGGGCTTGGCATCTCTCGTTTTGAAAGTTCTCATTATCCATCCTATCATTTTCCTTGCACGTGCGATCGTGGCACTGTTGTGATCCTTGAAAGTGAGATCCTCAGACATTACTACTCCCAGGTCCCTTACATTATATTTACTGTTTTTTCTCATGAAGCAATCTTCTTCTTTCTGTAAGGTTTTCTCCGCTCTTATTCTATGTATGATCTCTGCTTGAGCTTTCTTAATGGGACATGTTGTCGTCAGACCTTTGCATGCTTCTTCATTAAGCTTTTCCATGAACTAGTTTGGGTTTCCAGTGCTAAAGACGCTTTCAAGAATGAATTAAATGCCTCATGTTTATGCTGCCTCCCGTCAGATCACCGACTGTTGAGGTTGAACTTATTAATCATTCACGGGATGCATATAAAAATATGCCAACACTAAGAGCCTGATGGATCAGCCCACCGACTAGGAAGACTAGCCAGAGCTCAGGGCGCTGCGATTTCGCTTACTTAGAGAAAAGGCCTCTACCTTTATTGACAGCGAGGAAACGCTCATGGGAATATAGACTTGTATAGAATTTCCGAGCTTTCTCGTCCTCACAACCCTCTCCCAAAGAAGGCATCTCTTTAATAACATAATAAGTCAGGCTATCAGTGCCTGCAGCACACAACTCAACATAAACACCACAGGGACACCAGAATATCCTGAATGGTATTGGCTGCCATTCTGTAAGTCGGTTGTTAAACAGGACCTCACAGGTCACAGGAAAAAATCACTGAACAGTTGATTTGAAACAATAAATCTGACACTAACAAGCAGTCTAGTTTAGAAAGTTTCTCCAGATATGAGTTTCTGTAGAACAATACCCAGATCAAGTGTCACTGTTGTGAGATAACTCTAGGTAAAATGTCGGTGGCTGACCACGATACTTTTAGGAACTATGAGAAGAAGTATTGTATTTCACGAAGCACTAAACCCGTGCGGGTCATTCAGCGCTAGTTGTGAAGGTTAGATCCTTCGTCCGTTAAGCGTATCTGGTCAGGCTGTTGTTGATACCACCAACTACAGTAGAAAGACAAAAACATGAGGCGGAAAAACAACCTCCAGGAACAGCGCAGCCCGACACTATCATACGTGTTAGTGAACATTGTTCAGTTATATACCCTTGTTAGCGTTGTTAACGCATTATCGGAAGTGTCACTGTCATCACGTATACAACAGTGAATGCTGCCATACATTATATTATTAAAAAAGGGTCTAGATCCTTTGATATATACCTTTAATATACCTTTGATGAGTTCCGAGTTTTTCTACTCGCGGAGCCCGGCCATAGGCCAGGCTTGTCTGGTGCTTGCCTGGTCATCCAGGCTGTTGCTGCTGGTGGTCAGCTGTTTTACATATGCATCACAGCCTAGTTGATCTGGCACCTGGTACCAGTAGATATTAGAAATATCGTTGGAACAGTTATTGTAATCTTTAAGAGGAAACTCGATAAATACCTCCGCCAAGTGCTAGATCATCCAGACTGTGATGAATATGTGGGCCAGCGGGCCGTCAGCAGGAAAAGCCTGGATGACAAGGTAAACACCAGCCAAGCCTGAGCCCGGGCCAGGCTGCGAGAGTAGGAAAACTCTCGAAACTTGTCACAGGTATATCAGAGGTGTCCTCAAGCTACACGATGATGTATCTGAAGCCCTTGTTTACCTGGCTTGTTGACTCGCTCGAGATAACAGGTGATGATGGACGAAATGGTGACGCTCGAGTCCCTTGATTCTTCACTGCTCCGTGACATAATCCTTTCACGGAAGGACTTTGAGAAGTTGCTCTGTTTTTAAAACTTTTCTTGTTTGTCAGATCCTCTTCTTGCTTATAAAATGTACCTCTTGCTTATCAAACGCACCTAGCGTTTACCGAACCCTCTTCTAAATCAGTTTATGAACCTTCTTCATGTTTGTTCAACTCTCCTGTCTGCCAATGCCACCATTACGTTGTTAACCCAGACCATCACATACAACCTTGGCTTCACCAAACACACACACACACACACACACACACACACACACACACACACACACACACACACACACACACACACACACAAGCACAAGAGAAGATAGTCATACCTCCAACAGCACCAACAGGTGTTTCATTCTGGAAATGCTGTGCGTTTATGCTGACTTGCCATCATCATCAATCATGATTTCTAAGATTATCTACTGGGATCATAGCAAATTTAATAGATAAACTGACCGACAGGTATATATATATATATATATATATATATATATATATATATATATATATATATATATATATATATAATATATATATATATTAAAAGACTATATAAAGGACTATATAAAAATAAGAGTGTAATAAATGTAAGTAAGGGCTTATAAGAGTTGCCTGTTGTCTGTGTGTTCAGGATTTAGAAAAACTCAGTAATCCTACCTGAGTGCAAAACGTTTTATAGGCTTCCGTTCCACTCCTCACACGAGAGTACGTTAGCATCTCCCTGGATGGATAAATGCAAAGTTCCAAGCCTTGGATAAGAATATAATCATGACGCTTATAAGCAAAATAATGCAGATCTTACTCTGAATTCCTAAAATATTTAGGAGTTCTGGTTAGCAGTAATTTAAAACCTACTGCTAGCCACTCAAACTCAGAATGAAAAGCTCGTTGTAAATAATATGGGAAATATAAACAGCATCATCACTTGAGCCGCCAGGTGTTGTAAGGGATTCCCTGCATGAGAAACTCCAGCTTGTGGGGGGTTAGGAGTATCAACCCAGGTGAGGGTGCCAGAGTCAAGATACAGGTGTGAAGCTCCAGGTGAAGGTGTCAGAATCTATTTGAAGGTGCCAAGCTCCAGGTGAAGGTGTCAGAATCTATTTGAAGGTGCCAAGCTCCAGGTGAAGTGGTCAGAGTCTAGGTGTAGGTGCCAAGTTCCAGGGGAAGGTGTCAGAGCTCTGATAAGGGTGCCAGAAAACAGGTGTGGGAGCCATACTCCAGGAAAGAGTGTGGAAGAGAGTTCCAGACTGTTGAGGTTAGTGCCAGGTTAGGGTGCCTGTTTACTGCATGTTAAGAATAACGAACAGAGACAGCTGGTTACGACAAGCACTGACAGCTATGAACGGAAGCTGGAACGAGCAGCTATGGACGCCCAGCTTGAGCATCTAGCAGGAGCAGCCCACTACAACACCTAACTAAGAACAGTCAGCTAGGACCCCAAGTACAGTTAGCTAGAAGCTGGGACAGTCAGCAAGAACAGGAATAAACAATCAATTAAAACATCCAAGAGCAGTCAGTTAATAGCAGTTAGCAACGACAGACAGCAACAACATCCTAGAACAGCCAACCTGGAGCAACTAGCAATGAGAATCAGTGAGAACAGCAAAGACCAGTTACCAGAACAGCCAAGGACGGTTAATAGAATATCCACGAACAGTCAATTAACATAGCAAGGACAGACAAGAAGAACATCCAAGAACAGTCAACTAGGAACAGCTAACAAGAACAGACCAAGAACGGTCAGCTAAGAATAGCTAGTAAAAACAGACAGCAAAAACAGCCAATACCCGTGACGGCAGTCCGGCCAGGTTGAACAGCTAGATGCTGTATAGCCCTTGTGGCTTAGCGCTTCTTTTTGAATATAATAATAATAATGAACAGCTAGATAAAACAGCTAACAAATATAGAAAACAGTAACAGCTAAGAAAAACAGATCTTATAGACCAGATAACAAGTAAAGCCAGCTAAAACTGCTGGTAACACACTTGAGCTCTGTCACAGTAGACGGGAAGTTACCTCATCCTGTCACGATTGTTGTTGATGGTGGTGGTGGTGGTGGTGGTGGTGATAATGGCGG